GGTCGGATTGATAACATTCCGATTGGCGAGGACAGTCTCAACACCAAGAGATCCTATCTCTTAGCTGAAGCTCTCCCTCTCAGACCTGTTGAGTTCCAAAGCTGAGCAGTATTTGCGAAAACTACGATCAGCACCTACTCAGCTCAGTCTTCTTGAATCTGTGTAATCGGATTTACAGAATGTGTCCCCTCAGCGAAGGTAGTCTGCTCAGACAGATGCTGTTGAAGGTAACTGGTGGGACCTTGAATTTTCTGGGGAATGTAAGGGCATGTTTCTCAGTACATTTTCGAAACGAGTGGAAGAACTGAGAGTGGACCGTAAAGTGAGAAAAGATGTCTTATTAGAATCAGGCATCGACCTTTTTACTGGAAGAGCGTACCAATTCTATTCCGCTCACAGGCACGAAGATGATACATGGTAAGATTTTGTCACTCTCCTTAGGAAGGAATTTCTGTCTTCGGATTGTAACAAGAAGCTTTTCGAAAAAATTAAACGTCGAACTCAGGGTACAGACAAGTCAATGGGAATTGACCTTGCAGTCATGGCTGGGTACTTCAAGGGGCTGACGCGCTCGATCTCCGAGGAAGCTAAATTGAAGATGTTGCTTCGCAATATATCTCCCCACTACCAAAGCCAACTCGAATTGGCTAACATCGTATTCATTAGTAGACTTTCGACTCTTGGTAGTAGACTTGAGGTTAGGAAGGCTTCCATCGAAAGTTTCGCGGCACCAACTCAGACCTTGCATATCTTTCCATGCCTGAAGACGTCTCTGCGAGCGTATCTTCAGTGGCAACAGGGTCGCCGGGAATCAACCACTGTAGCGCTCTTTGTTTTCGATGCAACCAACCGGGTCACCGAGCTATAGGATGTGCTTCCAAGAAAAAGGTTTATTTCAAATATAGAAAGGTAGGATACACGGTGAAGACCTGTCCTACGTGTTCAATGTCGGAAAACTCCGATCGGCGTGTCTGAGAGGCCGTAGACACGCCGGCATATATACAAATTTGACCTTCCAACCAATACTGGACTACGTATTACATCATGTACATAATGACGAGAGACCGTATCTGCGAGTTGACATATTGGGCTGTTCCTCACTTGGGTTCCTCGATTCTGGTGCTTCTCGATCGATTTTAGGTACTAAGGGTTGGGATATAGTTGGACGTTTGGGAATTCCGTTAAACAGGAAACAGGTGGTACTTTGCACTGTTGCCAATGGTCAACGATGCTCTAGTATCAACAAATGTTATGTGCCGATGAGAGTTAGATCGTGTAAGATTAATGGAAGTATTGGTGCGTGCGAAGTTGGCTCATGTTCTCATTCAAGGGGCTGATTGTTGTGTCTGGATGGACCTACGTCATAACGAATGGCAGTTCTTCAACACAGAAGAAATACGAGTGCCGTGCTCGGTCAAGTTCAGGACTTGCAATAGAGCTATTGCCCGTATGTTCAATGATAATCATCCAGTCATCCAGGAAGAAATGAACGACACAAAATACGTTTTGGAATTATTGAACAAATTTATGGAAACTGGATCAGTTAACAATTAAAAGTATAATCGTTCAGAAGTTGTCAATGATGAAGCTATTTGTACTGCAGTTTAAGGGCACGTTGGACTAATGCAAGATTCGGATCATTTACTGGGTTATCTCGAGAATCAGAAATCAGTCGCACAAATGTTTTCAGGATCCTTCAGAAGTTCAAATTTCATCCATATGATATCAAACTAGTTCATAAATTGAACGAAGATGATTTCGATAGACGTATCGAGTTTTGTGAATGTCTCACTTAACGGATCAACTTACATCAGAATTTCTTGTATAAATGTTTTTTTTTCGGATGAATGTGTTTATTTTGGATGGAGGGGTGAATCGGCAAAATTTTTGATATTGGAGTGATACGAATACTCATTTGTACTGTCAAGTTCATACTCAATAACCTCAAAAACTGAATGTTTGGACAGAAATTTTAGGTGACCACATCAAGGGATTTTTTTTATCGATGACAATTTGACTAGTGATAAATATTTTGATATGTTGGAGAATATAATGATACCTTGCATCAATAGGGCAACTGAGGAGGATATAAATTCATACGAAAACGAAATAGTTCTTCAGCAGGATGGTGCACCTCCTTATTGTGCAGCCTCACTGCGACAATTTTTTGATGATTATTTTCCTGGTCGTTGGATTGGCAGAAGAGGTCCTACAGAATAGCCATTGAGGTTTCTGGATCTCACTCCTGTAGATTTCTTTCTATGAGGTCATTTGAAGTCTCAAGTTTTTCCTGCAAATCATTGTTTCAAAATTTATTCAGGGTGGCTCGTTTTCAAATCAAATAATTTGTAGCTCTCGAACCATAAGCTTCAGACCATATGTTTTATACTTTGTTGAAATCTGCTCATCATTGAGCATTTGATAATGCGAAACAATATAGGGTCAATAAATTGAAAAATTAATTGACATTTGGACCAGATGGCATTTTAGTCAAAATTGTTGAGAATCTCATTGCTCATTTTGTGAAGCCTCTCTGTATCATTTGCAACCTCATGCTGAAAAATTACTACTTTTCGGATATATGGAAGCTGTTGAGGGTATGCCCTATCTTCAAAACTGACAAGAATTCGGAAATAGTAAGTTAATTATAGACCGATTTCCATAATATCAATATACTCGAAATTAGTTGTAATAATTTTATCAGGCCTCATGTATAAGCACGTAAAAAACACAATGTCCGAATTCCAACATGGTTTTGTGAACTGTCGTGGCACTGTGTCACATTTTTGTATTTTTACGCAATATGTTTCTGACAAACTGGACCAACGTAAATAAGTTGACGTGGTGTATATAGACTTCAGCAAAGCATTTGATCGGGTTTCACATCATCAATTTCTCATGAAATTATCAAGCCTTCGAATTTTTTGGCATTTCGAGAAGCCTCCAATATTTGATTAAATTATATCTTAGTGAGAGAAAATTATTTGTGGAATACGAAGGAATTGAATCGTTCATTTCTGATAGTATCTACTCTGAAAAACTACTTTTTGCTGATGATATGAAGATTTTCAGGGAGATTGAAGACTGATTGTATATAATTACACAACGATATTACAAAGTTACTATTTTTCACGCTAGTATCGTGGAAAATAGACTAAAGTGTGTTTTATAGTGTAACCTCAGTGAACAAAATAAACAATTAACTATCATTGAACATAGGCAAATGTAGAACAATGACTTTCGCAAGGATATCCTCAGTACAAATATATACCTTCAAATTGGATAATATAACATTGGTAAGAATCAGCCAATCGTGAGATCTAGGTATTATTTCTGATGATAAACTAACGTTCTCTTTACATATCGAACAAATAACATCCTGTGCAATGAAAATTCTAGGATTTGTAATCATTTCTAGAAACATGTGGATTCGTTTTCCGATGGCATTTCAGGTTATCTTCCTAAATGTCTGCTACCGCAGTTGTCGGTTGATTGATCAAACCACAAACACTGACATGAAAACTTGGCAAGTTGACTTGGGTGTCACACCAATAGGTGGTTCCACTTATGTTTCGCTTGCGTTCACGCAGTTATTTTTATCAAGTACTTTTCTTTGTTTTCCACATTTTGTCTTCAATCGAGGACCGCCTGCCCTGTACTGACAATGCCCAATAGGCTATTGAAGATTTATATCTTCTATTAATTATCAGCGAGCGCTTTCAACAGTTGGCAGTACTGTCATCTTCTAGGCAATCCTCTCCTCTAGGAAACTGATGCTTATATGTTATAATGTTACATGGTATGTAATGCTGATACATATTTCGTTCTTTGTTTCAATTTTTGTTTTTCAGGACTGATATAAGTTTTTCATTTTTCATTATGTACTCCAGTTATTGGGTCTCATGACCTGTTGGATGTATTTTCTCAATGAAAAGATGAATGAATGAAATATATTACCTCGACCTCCTCCATTTCATTCTCTTTAACTTCAATCTTGAGATATGACTGTCATCGATACATTACCTCCAACCCCTACCTTTTTTGATGATTTTCTATATGAGCATAATATATCATATAGTCTCATTCAGTTCAGATCATCTAACGGAATGAATATTTGTTAAGTTGTGACAACGAGAGCAGTGAATATTTACCAATCCAAGAAGTGAAAATCATCGTCACAGAGGTGAACATATTATTATATATTTTTGAGCCGTAATTACACTATATTCATGAATGATAATTTGAAATTTGACATTAATTTTGAAGTGAAGCTTTGGAGCAGAAACCTATAACCGCTCTCTGATTATTGATGGAGAAAATAAAATTGAAAACATTTCAATGTATTCCACAGGATATTCACAGAAGACTTCATTCGTTTTGAGAGTTTAACTAAGATCGTCTTTTTTGTAAATAGTAAAGACATGATAGATTATTATAAAATATGTATCAACTTACTCACTCCATAGACAGTCAAATTTTATATGAGTATTTTAATTTATTTCGACAATATAATTTTCAAAGTGATGATTGCAATTCGTGTATTTCCAGAGTTCTTCATCCTATGGATATGTGGATGCAATATTCAGCACAAGAGTGGCCTGATGCGGTGGATTTGGATTTTGCCATAAGCAAAATGACTCACGAAATGACTGATCTAAGTTTAAACGCTCTACATTCATCAATTTGAGTGTTATTTTATGATGCTGATGAGGTGAGAAAACTTTTGGAGCTCTGTGAGAAGTATGAACTCGGTGTGAGATGGTGTCGAAAATATTAGTATGTAAGCTTAAAACATTTCTTTTACGACATATACGCCTACCTAACGCAGAATATTATGCAGAAATATCAATTGGAGCCACTTAGTCCCAACCCACAACTGAAAGAATCGTTATATTATGGCGTTGTAATTATTTGAAATCTGTTGTATCTATATGCTATAGAATCATGTTTCAATCCACATTCGTCTATATCTGATTTTTTTATAACGAAAAAACAGAAAATAATCATTAAATGTTTTATTATTCTACAATATCGAGTATTTCATGGTGAATGACATGTCAACCGTATTACAATCCAGTGAGAACAGAGCCGATTAAGGCATTAGAAGATAAAACAGCATCGTGGAGGACTAGTGAGTATACTTTGGTGTTTGCTGGAAACTTCACCTTGCCTGTTTCGAATTCCATTTCGATGTCAACAGTGGAAACGTCACCTTGCCTGTTTCAAATTCCATTTCGATGTCAACAGTGGAAACTTCACCTTGCCTGTTTCGAATTCCATTTCGATGTCAACAGTGGATGACTTTATAGTGTCGAGTTGATGGAAGCAGTCGATGATAAATAGTGGGTTGTTGCGAAAGCTACCAATATCCATCATCGGTTCACTCATAGCTTCATTGTAGCAGCTGCGTTGAAAATTTTCATATACATTGTAGGCTGCTGAGTCAAACTTCATGTTAGAATTCGAATTTCAACACTCATATGGTTATGCTCCAGAGTTCAGAGACTATCTAATAATATTGATATTGACATGTATGAATTTCGTTACATCTTTCGAAATATTTTCGGATATATATCTGACAATTCTTTGACATTTGGGATATTTTACATTCATTCAGGTTTTGTATTCAATTGTTGATGAGAAAGACACTTTGTTGGTTGTCAATCTTTTCCATTTGATTCCCAAATTTTGTTGAAGACTTTTTAGTATACACATTGTTGTCTTGAGGAAAATTCAGTAAACAAGCGTTCGATAGTGCTTGATATGATCTCATTTTTGATACTACTCAATTTGTTTTCCTTGAATTTTTATTAATTTATGATTCGGAATAATTTGATAGTTGTGAATTTTCGTATGTAACCACACATAGAATCTTGTTATAGAAAACGATAAATTTTGAATATTACCGCCAATACAGAAAATGAAGTTATTGAGTAATGGAATAACGAAATGGGAGTATTCGCAAATTGAAGTTTAGGTATGTATAATTTTTTGACTTTCATATCAAGGTTGATTCACCACTTTCCAGCTTGAATAAAAAAACTGATTTGAGTGAATTATATAATTATATTCTCACCTTCTGCATCTAGATCAAAGAACTTATGTTCAAAACCATACTGAAAAATTTTTCGAATTCATAAACGATAATATTTCCACGTTTGCATCAACACTATTTTATTTCAAGAATTACATTTTATATTGCGAATCGCATCATAATAAAATGAAAAAAAATCATAGTAATCAAATAAGAGTTAGGACACCTGCCAGTTTCTCTTCCATTTGGTGTTTTATAAATACATTTCAACACAGTGTTCTGTGAACTGATTAACATTAACAATAATGAGTTTCCAGCAGCCTCAACCAAAACAAACCGGCATATTTGCCAAATTGTCGGTTTCCGGGTAAATTTTTTCCTAGCGAATGAAGCAAAATATTAATTGGAACCGAAATATGTTTGAATAATTCAGGTTGAATTGAACGAAGTTTCATGTGATGTTTTCGAAGATGTGTCGGTTTATTTTATTCTTACGTAATGTTATGCAAGATGTTTTACAGCTCACAAGATTCAAAATCGACCCATGTAGATGTATACTTGAACTAATTATTACACAACTTCAATATTTTTCTTCAGATTGAGAAAAAAGCGTACAGTTTTGATGTTGGAACTTGCAGGGAACAGTGAAGGAAAGGGGCAAGTGATAACGCCAGAGCTCTGCCCCCCGACACGTGTCAATTTAGAACGCACTCCTGAAGATGCTCCTTAAACTACCAAGACTACGAATTCCAGGCATAAAACCATGTTTTCCATACTGCGGATAAGTTTAAGTTTTATCGTTTCATTTAAATAAATCAACATTGTTGATAAATTGTATAAGTATGTATGTAGTCGATACGAATAAAGAAGAAGAACTCACTCAGTCTTGTTCAAACTTTTTCCAAAAATATAATTATAAGGTCATATATCTATGATATATTTTTCAGGGCGTGAAGTTACTGCTTCAACGAACGTTGACCTGACTACTATAGATCAAGTAGAAGTTCCTATGGGTCTCATGGAGAAGTATTAAGCTCTTTGTGTAACTGTGACCACATGGACTTCAATTTTAATTACGGTGGAAAAGAAAAACTCTCGAAAGGAACAACAAAAGAAGGATACAAAAAAACAAATTTGAACACTTCATTACACATATCCTGATGCTGGGACAATGGTCCCGAAACATGCCGATTAAGAATGAAAAAAAATTGAATAATCATCAATATTGATGGCGTAATGGCAGAAATTTATATCAACCTAAATACCGATAACAAACCATCTCACCTCATCACTACATATATTATGTCAATGTTTGTTTGAAAAAGATTGTAAAGCAATAAATTCGACGACATTATCTTTTCCTTTCACCTAAAACATATGTGCATATATCTTCAAATTGAAACAATTTTCGATTTATTTGCAATCACTACTTCAATAAAAAGTAACGGACGTTGAATGGAATATATCATAGGCGAAAACTTCGAAGTGCTCAGGTGAAAAATATGTACTTTGCAGATACGCCGGTTTGATTTCAAAGCGACAATATATGTGATGATTTTTCAACCTTTTGCATACAACCTCATGGATAATGTAAGTAGTTTCATCAAAACTTCAGCAATATGCAAAGAACACACATTTTTACTTTTGTAGTTTCCCTCATGATGACAATGAAAAGTATCAAAATATTGGAAATGATATCCTAAAAGTCTTCTTTTGTGTACTCCAATAAATCAGTAATTTGGTTTTCAACCAGTCAACAAAGACTACCTATTTACTCTTACTCACAGATAAAGGGTTTTACTAAAATATCACTAAAGTAAACAGGCCCAGAGAAGCCGAAAGACAGAGACCTAAACGACAGCCGTCGGCTAAAAAAACGACTCGATACAAAAAGAAATCAGACAGCAACAACGAATTGATCAAAGTTAGAAGTAAACTAAGGACGGAACAGCAAAAGATCACTCAAGCGGTCTTAGCTGCAGTAAATCAAGCACCCGGGAGACAGTAATGCCTGCACGAATCCCGGAACAACTGAAAATAGAATCGTGAAATATAAACGGTGCCACAGACAGGCGAAACGAGCTACTGGAGCTGCTATTGCGTCTAGACAAAGACGTCATGGCACTGCAGGAGAGAAGGTTGAGGAGCGAAATGAGCTACCAAATCCCAGGATACAACGTATACAGGACAGACAGGCCAGACCTAGCGCAGAATGAAGATAGAAAACCAGATGTCCAATTCGGAGAAGCAGTCGTGGTCAGAGTCAAACTGAGACACTACGAGCAGCTAAGAATATCGTCGGTATACCTGCCTCCGCAAGGTATAAGACTAGAAAGAACCGACATGGCAGAAATGTTCCCAGACCACCACCCAACAGTTGCCATCGGCGACTCCAACGCAAAGTCGCGAGACTAGAACTGTAGGTATGGCAATTGGAGAGGCAGAGATCTAGTCAGAATTCTGGAAGAATTTGAGGACATCGCGATAGTAGCACCGAACACACCAACGCACTACCCATGAGAAGACTCTGACATTCTTGACATCGCACTAGTGCAGAACATGGATACTACGGAGATGGAAGCACTAGATGAAGGTTCGTCAGACCACAACCCCATACTGTTCACAATAGGAAGAGGTGAAGTGGTCATCGACTGAATGAAATTTAAGCGCACCATACACGATGCGATGGGAGATATGCCACGCATCGAAACAAAAACGGATCTGGAGAACGCCACACACCAGCTGCAGCAGGCGATCATTCAAACGGAAAGAAGCGCACGGAAAGTCCCAGCCCCACGCTTCAACTTCCAAGAGCAACTTCCACCAGAAACGGTGGAGCTGATCAGAATAAGAAGACGCCTGAAAGGACGATATCAAAGGACACGTGCATTTATGGATGAAAAGTGCATGCAAAGAGCCAATAGATCACTCAGAGATGAACTGAGAGCGATCCGAGACAGACAATGGTCTACCCGTCTGGAAGAAGTAAATACTGAAGACCAGTCTGCATGGAGAATGCAGAAAGTACTTAGGAAACAATTTTAACAGCTATGCCCACCAATTCACGGAGAGCAAGAAATTGTCTACATTGACCTGGAAAGAGCGTTTGCGGACAACTACGAAAGGCAGTGAAGAGAGAACAACGTCCCATTCATGGACGACGTAGAAGAAACTGAGACGCAGGTGGAAAGAACGATACGAAGAATAAAAACGGACAATGCGTCACCCCTGGCCCCGACATCTCCCGAAGAAGTGAAATACATCCACTTGAAAAGCCCCAGGCCCGGACGGAATAACAAACCGGGCACTGAAAGTCCTACCGCGCAAAAGTATATCAGCCATTACCAACAGCATAAACGCTGTACTCACATTGCAGCACTTTCCGTGTCCGGTCAAAAAGGCAACGGTTATCCAGATATTCACAGGCCAATCAGCTCACTACCTTCCATAAGCAAAGTGGCGGAGCGTGTCATCTCGAGGATCAAACCAGAGAACTAGGAATCTTACCAGATGAACAGTTCGGCTTCAGATCAGAACACTCGACAGAGCTACAACTACAAGGGTAGTAGACTCTGCGACCGAAGGCTTCCACCTCGGCAAAGGATACAACACCGAAGCTATCATCTTAGACATCTCCAAGGCGTTCGACAGAGTTTGGCATGACGGACTCCGGGCCAAAATGAGCAATTTTGGCTACATAAAACTGATGATAAGATTAATCCGGTCTTTTCTAGCTGACAGGCAATGCCGCTGCAGAGTAAGAGATGAAATTTCAATAATTCGACTACTAGAAGCAGGGGTCTCGCAAGGTGCAGTCCTTTCGCCACACCTCTTCTCGCTATATACAGCAGACGTACCCAAGCTGGAAAACAAATTTACCAGGTTGGAGCTCTACGCGTACGACACGGCTCTGCTGGCGAGATCTACGAGCCAAGCGCATGTCACCAGATATTTGCAGCAACAGGCAGACATATTAGAGGAATGGGCCAACATGTGGAAGATCTGTATGAACCCTGACAAGAGTCAGGCGATACTGTTCACCCGGAGGTGGGCACGACCGGAAGGCAAGGTTATCTTCAACGGACAAGAGATACCGTTACCCTAGAGAAGAAACTAACATTCAGGCCTCAGGTTTAAAAAAAATCTGTTTAAAATCTGTTTTTCCGTTAACCAGCTGTCGCTCCCCTATGTACGACAACCCTCAGAAGTCCAAACTTGTGCGAGCTAAGGATTAACGAGGTCTTACCTTTTAACGTGTGATTCCTAACACGGGAGAGAATCGGAATGGCGAGATCAGCCAGACAACGCCTGGCACCAATAACACTCAACATAAGCAACTTTGGCTGAAATTGAAGTTGCTGATGAAAAGAACAGTTCTCATGCCCATAATACTGTATGCTTGCACTGCCTGGGGCCAGTGAGGCTTTACGCCATTCCGCCTCATCGTTTGTATTTAAATATATCCCGTCTCTCGTTAATTTGGCTTTGTTGTAACCAATTTTCTTTGCTTCGAGATGTTTTGATATCTAGTTCCATTTCTTGGTATCGTGTAAGTCTATTGGTGGCGGCCTTCCTGGTTCTGTTGTTGGTACCACTTCTTTTTCGTTCATGTTTGAGGTTGGTGTCACTTCTTCAGTGGTTGGCTTCTCTGCATTGTTAGTCGGTGTTTCTGTTTCTGGCACTATTTGTACAATGGTGCTCGTTTCCTGTAGTGTATCCATGTCCTCGCTTGTTTTTTCCTCTTCATGACTTGCCGCTTTCGCGGCTTTCTCCTGTGCTAGACGTCTTCTTCTATTAGGCTTTGCTCTTTCTACTAATTCAAACCCGTCTTCCTTCCTTTCTTCTTTTTTCCCGATTTCTATTTGTGTGCATGCACACGGTATAATTCTGAAAAGAACCAATGTCTTTTTGTGTTATGTGTTAGACACTCAGCACTAGTCACACTCACTTTTATCACTCACTGCGTTATCTTTTCAGATAACATTCACCTTCTCAACTTAACACTTTACTAGGAGGTGTTCTCTCATCGGCGTCTGGTCTCGGTGCCCCCCTTACGAAAATGACATATTCGTTTATATCAAATATGAACGAGACAATCCAAAGACGAATCTCGTCTGCGTTCAATGTCTAAGCTTGGTTTTGTAACTTACCGCCGTGGAAGGCCTCGATTAACTTATATATTCTTCAATTAAGTTCTCTGTCGACTCCACAGATGTCGTTTCCGTGAGGGGGATGTCACCTTCAGTCAGGCTTGTTCGTAAGGCTTGAGTCCAGCGATACATTAGTAGTTGAGCCTAACACCAATGATGAGACCTACGGCGGGTGGAAACAGCAATGTCTGGTATTGAATCATGTATGCGTTGTGTTTGGATTCTGGTTTTCAGCTAGTTGCCTTGCAGTGCACACTGCAGTGAGAGACAGAGAACGAATCTCGTTAGCGATCGATGTCAAAACTTGGCTTTGCAATTGATCACCTTGGAAAGCCTCGTTCATCTTTGATATTCAAGGATTGAGTTCGCTGTCGAACCCACAGATGGTGTGGAAATATGTCATTGAACTAACTTTTTTGGGCTTGTTGTTTAAGAACAGTGGAGTTCAGCTCCAGCTCAATGAGAATGAAGTCTGAACTATACCAACTGAGAATATTGAATTTCAACTTATATATTATTTTGAATTTGGTTTTTAGTGATTCAGTACCAGATACGTCGTCAATATTTCTGTATTGAATGATTGATGTAGAGACCAAAATTTGTGTCTCAAAGGTTCTTGTAGAGATATGAAATTTTGATAATTTCATTTATCTTCCACTTTTGAATTGTTTGACGTAGGTAGTACTTAGTGAGATATCTACTACCATTTATCTATGTGCGTTGATGGAATATG